CCTAGGACCTAAACTATCCCTACTATCTAATAAAGATATCCTCCTAGTATACATATTAGGTAACCTTAAAGTTATATAAGTTAACTTAAACCGGAATGCCTAGGCTATAGAAGCGGCACTCTAGGATACTCTCTAATTAGGCATCTATCTAATATTTATCTAGGAACCATAGATGATACTATAAGATAATATAGCTAATATATAATTAATCTCCTACCCCTCTATAATATAAATTCTTCTAACCTTCCTATAGGGCTTACGTCCTTAGATAATACTCTATCTAAATAAATCCCTTACCTATATCTAGGTAAATCCTTACCTAGATATCTTCCCTAGCCCTAACTACCTTACTATAGATTTAACCTACGGAGAAGATACTATCTATATAGTTAACATCTATAATAAGGCGGAATAAGGCACCCTATCCTCCCTATATATAATAGAAAGAGTTATTAAGTATAGCCCCCCTACTATGCTAATAATCTATATAGGGGACTTTAATGAATACTATCTAACATAGGACCTACTCTCCCCCTAATCTCATAAAGTAGAAGCTCTATATAAATGGATTAAGGAAAACCGCCTTAAACTCTAAAACTAACCTAGAGTAGGTACCTTCTTTTATATAGGGATAGAAAGGGAAACGGTTATTAACCTCTCCCTATATACTCTAATAGTTACTACTTAAGTGATTAACTAGTAGGTATAAGAGAACCCCCTATCTAACTATAACACTATTCTCTTTACTATTACGTATAATGAGTTTTAAGATATACTAATGCTACTACTATAGTTTAACATTAAAAAGGCTAACTAGGCCTAGTATAGGTAAATTGTCCGAGAAGAGTTAAATAAGATTATAAGTCTACTCATCTAAGCCCTTCCTAATAGGGTATAATATATACTCTCTAGTAGGACCTTATAAGAGGACCTAGACTAACTTAGATAATGCCTTATAAAGGTAATAGAGATAGTAGCTAAATATAGTATCCTATAGGTAACCTCTAGATAGTAATAAAAACTATAGTAGTCCCTACTCCTTACGGCCTTAAGGATAACCGCTATATAAGTAAGGTGTAGGGTATGTTATAACTAAGTTACATATATATAAGTATAGAATATGTATAATATAGCCATTAAGTAGGTAAAATAAGAATACTAGAATAACTTTCTTATAAAAGAAACACCCTAGTCTATCTATAAGGTAATAGTATACATGAAAGTAACCTAATCTAAGCGAATCCCCTAGATATATAACCTTTAAGATTAACTCTAATCATTATATAATAGTAAGTATGCTACCTTCTATTAGAAACTCTTCCCCCTACTACTATATGTTCCCCTACGTAACTAGATAAACTATAAGGAAGGGCTATAGGACTAGCCCTCCCTTATAGATAAGGAAGTATAGTATGCCTACTCTTATAAGATTAAAGGCACTACCCCTAGGCTAGACTAGATCTACTAGAAGATGATTACTAAGGCGTACGACGCTTATCCTAAAAAATTTACCTAGATATACTAAACCTTCTTTATGTACGGATATTACCTAGAATGCTAGAGAGAAGTAGTAGGTATAATACTTAAGAAGCTAGGGAAACCTAATTATATAGACCTAAAAGTATATAGAGTTATCTCCCTACTTAACTACCTAGGAAAAGTCCTTAAACGTATTATAGTAAAACGTCTTAGAGTACTTATAGAAGCTACCTACCTCCTATATCTATCCTAAATAGGTAGATAACTATAGAAGTTAGTAATTAATATAGTAATAATCCTTATATATATTATCTAAGATAAGAGGAGGGCACGGCGTAAGATATTAACCCTATTCCTTAATATATAAGGTGCCTTTAATTATGTAGCCTATAACTAGCTCTTATATATAATAGGGGAAATTAGGCTCCCTACCTCCCTCCTAGCATAGGTAAAGATATTTACTAGTAGGTAATAACTCTAGATCTCCTTTAATAGCTAATAAGAGGACCTTTATCTAATAGTTTTAGGAATCCCCTAGGGAAGCCTAGTCTTACTAATCCTATTTCTTATTTATATATAAAAACTCTTTTCCTCTTACTTAGTCTAATTCCTCTTATATATTAATAATGTTTTAATTATAATCTCCTTAATGAGCTAGAAGAAAAATATATAGATCCTCTAGTAGGAAGCTAACTAGCTTTTCTTACTTAGAACCTAATATGCCGTCGATTTTAATAAAGATAAAATAGACCTTATCTATTTTATAAGCTTAGATAAGGCTAAGTAAGCCATAATTATACTCCTAGGAGACTATATAGTATAGCTAAAGTAACTTATCTAATAGCTTAGGATATAGTTTAATATATACCTATTATTCTAGTAGTATATAATAATTTAGAACGCCTAAGTAAAGTAATTACTTAGAAGGCTTATATGGCTAGCTAATATATAATATAGACTATCCCCTACTACTATCTAATAACTATACCTAGCTTACGTATAAAGTATAGTAGATTATAGGTCCCTAGTTTTCTAGTAAGTTAGTAGCTCTAAGATACTTAGATGAACACTTTAAAATAATAGACTACGCTAAATCCTAGGAGCCTTTTAGACCTCCCTAATTACCCCTATAGAAATTAAAGTAGGACTTCTCCCCCCCTACCTAAGGCGTAATATGTTACTTTAAGCATACACTATATAACTCTTTAAGCTTAGTCACTAATACCTAGTATATATAATTATCGATAAGTTTAAATAAGAGAACATACTAGGACAATAGATATAACTTAAACATGTCTAGAGCATAATTTCGGACCTAGTAATAGGTACTAAAAGCCTAATTAAACATGGTTCCTTTCCCCTATAGAAAAAGACTACTCCGTATAAAGTTAAGATTAGCTACCTCCTAAAGGAATAAGAAGCCTAAGTATATATTAGACGCATAGGATATATAACTTAGGTAGTTATTCTATACTCTAACGCTTTATCTATCCTAAAAGGAAATAGAGTAGGTATAGGAATTATAGCATATAACACCTAATAAGATAGTATAAGAGTAGTAGTAAGATATAGAGGAAATACTAGACTATACTAGCTTATATATAATAGAGAACTAGAGGCACTTATAAGGGCTATAGAGTTAGCTACCTAGAAATAGCTAGGATAACGGATCATAGTATATATAGATAACTAAGCTATACTATACTGCCTCTAAACCCCGTCTAACCTACTAGGTTAAGGACTATAACTTTAAGCTATAGATATAGGCTACTTAATTATAGCTAGATAAGGTAGTCTTACCTTCTTATAGGGCCTAGGCTATATAGGGATTAGAGGAAACCTATAAGTAGACGCCCTTATAAAGGAGGCTGCTAAGCTAACCCTAGAGAATAACTACTTAAGTACTACCCTCCTTAGGATGCGCGTATGATAAAGAACTATAGTAGAATAGATAGTATATACTATATAATACTAGGAAGCATAGATAATACTATCCTAGGAGTTATATATACATAACTTTCTATCTATACTAAGGACGTCTATCTAACTCCCTAAGTATAGATAACTAGAAGCATTAGCCTACTTCTAATTAAAACTAAACTATAGCTACTTTAAAGCCTACCTATTATAGTTTAGTAAGATAGCCTAGGATAACTATAGCTATAATAATACCGCCTAATAAATACTATAACATCTTATTAGTGACTACCTACTCTATAGCTCTACTAGGAAAGAAGTAATATAGGAAGTGCTTTAGGCGTACGATAATAATAGTAGGAATATAGCCTCTATACCCTATAGAGAGCTGTTCTAAGGAGACGTTAGTTAATAATTCATACTTAAATTTATATGTTAGATGAAGGTTTCTACTAGGGCATAGCACATATAAATAGTAGACTAAGGGAAAAAAGAAGAGTAAAAAGAAGAGGAGAGAATCTATTCTAATCTCTACTAGTAGAGTAAATAATAAGCTCTATAATCCCTCTACTTATAGTTCCTATAGATACTACCCTAGAACCCCTCTAACTAAAGATAATTAAGGAAAGGACCCCTTTATCCGTAATCTACCTAATACCCTCTAGGCTTATACCCCTCCTCTACCTTATATAGAGCCTCTACTAAGACCCTAGCCCTCTAGATTAGGAAGGCATTAACATAGCTTAGATAACTACTCCGTAACTACTCTAGCTAAATCCTTCTACTCCTAATAATAATTAGATAACTATTTAGTAGTAAGGTAAGGGCTTAATACTATTTATCTATATAGTATACCTAGGCTAGGGCGGCATATAGAGCTCTATTATTAGTAATAATATTAATATATAGTCATCTAATAGCGGTAATAGGGCTAGATTAAATTATAAGTAATATTAATATAGATTAAACCTAGGTTCTTTAGCGTTATTTATTTTCTATAATAAGTATTAGCTAACTATACTAGTTAGCTAGAAGATGTATACTACTAGTTAAAAACCTTACCCGCCTTTTTACCTTTATAGGTGCTAAGAAAGGTATTATATAACACTAACTAAAAAATAGTACTATTAGGAATAGTACTAGAACGCTATAGTAGAGTATATATATAATCTACCTTACCTACTACCCTATACTATATTTACTTTTCTATATACGCCTTCTTCCCGTCCCCCTTCCTTTCCTTACTCTTACTTCATGCTACCTATCTACTTAGATAACGGTAGAAAGGCTAGTTCTTAGCCCCCCCTTACCTAAAAAGAGCCTAGATAAACTATCCATCTATAATAACCCTATACTAACATTATACTAAGAATTATACTTTATTATACGAGATTCTTTAGCTAGGTATTCCTACTTACCTTATAAACGTATATAGTATCCCCTATAGATAGCTCTATCTTAGATAGCCTATAGCTCTAGTAAGACGTAAAATAATTAATTAATCAATCAATCAATCATCAGAAATTATGCGCAGGCGTTTGCGAGCAATTTTCAGACACAACATATTATAGATGTGTTTTGTATTTCTCAAAAATTAAATCTGAGGTGATGTGGTGTAGGGGTAGCATGCGTCGTTGTGGAGTATCCACAACACCAATCCGAGATTGGTTGTTTGCTGAGGATGATCACAATGCCGACTCGACCTGGGTTCGATTCCCAGCATCGCCAGCTTGATGCTTCCACGCTCAGCGTGGATAATTGCAGTCTTTTTTTTTGTCTTTTTGCTCTTGGGGTGTGATGATTGCCTTCATATTGGTAGGAGAGGAAAGTACAAGATGCATGGTGGTGCGTCGAATTCTGGAAGTCATCGTGGTCTTTCGTTTTACCATGGCATGCACAGGCAAGGGCGGAGGAGCAACTGCCTGTTCGGCTGTCAGACAACGGCGCATAGGAAGGCGCGGCTCTAGAGTACCGTCCGTGTGGATCTCACGAACAAAGTGGGAGAAAGCTCAAAGTATCGCTTTTGGCGCCTCGCATCTCGGAGGGCTTGCAACGGTGAGCAAGACCACTACCGGGCCCGGCAAGGACGCTTTTCAATACCGTCCAGGGGGCGCCGAACACAAAAGCTGAAATCGATCAACGAATGCGTCATTGATGCTGGCCAGCTCCGGTACAAGAAAGCAAGCGACTCAGCGGAAAATAGGGAAAAGCGGATTCAAAATTGACTAAGCTTGTATTTCCTGGTCATGCATGTCCTTGTGCTTCTTACACTGAACTGAGCATGGAGCTAGCCGGCAAAAGTCTTGTGTTTACCAGAGCGACAGAGCAGTGGGACGCAGACCGCGTGGCTCTGACAAAAGAGAAAAGCCTCCATCATTGAATCGTTGCTTGGGGGAGTGAGTGTGTGAAGAGCAGAACGGAAAAAGAGAAGGGGAATCATCACCAAGCCACATGCCCACTACAACGCCGCCTGCCTCTCCTCGCCTCGCGCGCCGCTCAAATACGCTCAACCCCTCGCCGAATCAACCTTTTGCAGTCCTGACCCCTCTCCTTCCTCCGCCCTCGTCTTCCGAGCGACGTCAACCAAAATCTTGACCTCCTTTTCCTTGTTTTCAATGAGCGGGCGGAAGCCGCGCTCGACGATGTCCTCCATGGCGATGCGGCCGGTGATCATGGCGGCCGGCTTGATGCCGCCCGACGCCAGCTGCGCGAGGACGGCTTCAAAGTCGCGCCGCTGGTACCCAAGCACCGCGCCGTACTTGGCTTCCTTCCAGACGAGCAGGTTCGGCTGGAAAGGCACCGGCCGCGCCCAGATGGCGACGTTGATGATGAGGCCGCGCGCGGCGACAGCGCCGCAGGCGGTATTGAGGCTGTTGTGTGAGTTGTTAGTACTGAGTCGGGTCATGCGGATTTGGACGATAGTGTCTGAGGAAATGGCACTTCAAGAAGGTACATCGAGGCGTTCTGTACAGGAGGACTTTTTCGTGGATTTCACCGAGCGGACAAGGCGAAAGGGGCCGGCGCTTGAAGAAGAAGACAACGAGGCAAAAGACGTACCTAGCTTCGACACCTGCACAATCGAATATGACATCTGGCCCCTCACCGCCGCTCAATTGGCGCGAGAGGGCAACCAAGTCATAGGTCTTTGGGTCCAACACGTGGTGCGCTCCAAACTCTTTTGCGAACCGCTGCCTCTACGTTGCCACTTCACTGACGATGATCTTCTTCGTCTTCCTCGCCGAGAGGCACTGCACCACAGCAAGTCCAATGGGCCCGCCCCCGAGGACCAGGACGGTCGAATCAGTAGTCAGCGCAGCTCCAGCGGCTTCCACAGCATGCCACGCCACAGATAGTGGCTCGACAAGCGCGCCAATATCGAGTGGCACGTTTTCTGGCAGCGCGAGAACAGCTCCAGCGGGAACGACAACGGCGTCACTGAGACCGCCGCCTCCGCCGCTGAGCCCTATGAAGCCGCCATTGGAGCAGGCATTTTCAATCCCATTGCGGCAAGCGCTGCAGGCGGCGCAGTAGATGGTGGGTTGGACGACGACCTGGGATTGTTGGTTGGTGTTGACTTGTGGTGGGACGGAAGCATCACCTTTTGTCCAACCTCGAAGCCCGTCACCCCTTCCCCGAGCTCCTTGATTACACCAGAAAATTCGTGCCCAAAGGTGATGGGGATCGTGTCTTTGGTCACTGGATGAGGCTCTTGTGGCGCAAAGTTTGGACCGCTAAGGTACTCGTGCAAGTCTGGCTTTCGTCAGCGGACTTTCGAGTTTGCAAATATTTCCATGAGATGAGAGAGCTTCGACCGAATTGCTGGAGCGGTGCGGAGAAACATGACAGCCCAATCTCGACCGCACCCAACGACTTACCAGTTCCGCAAATGCCGACATACGCGGGTGCGACCTTGACGCTGTTAGCAGTGTGTTCCACCAAACCAAAAGACGACCAAGGCTGCTACCCATGGTGTCGCTGTCGATTCGCAAAAGACGGTAGCGATTGATCTACCTTGATCTGCCCCGGACCCGTATCATCTTCGGGAATCTGTTCGATTCTGATATCCCCCTTCCCGTAATAGCGAGCAGCGCGCATAGTAGGTCGTGCCATTGTGTAGCTTTGGCGGAGAATTGGAGACAATCGATTCTTGCCCACTTTATGGCCAGGGTTTGAACCTGTGCCTCGCTCACGAGAGTGTCAGACGGTTCATGCACGAACAACCGACCGTCAGATGATTCGAGACGCGATGGGTTTGGAAGAAATGGCGAATGAGAATTGCGTTGAAAGCCTTTGCAGACACCCAGCTACATGTACTCGAGCAAGAAGGGAATGCTTGAGAAGGAAGAACAGTCTTGGAGGCAGCTGGTTGTCACGCGTCCAAGCAAGCCAAGGGGCATCCATCTGGAAGAGTGCGGGGATGCATTCCCCACAGCTGGCTTAGGTCTCGATGCGGGGTGCCTGTGGATGGAACAGCGTAGACCCTGATGCGCGGCGCAGTCAGTTCAGATGATAGGATACAGGGCCTGGCCAAGGCTTGGGCATGACGGAGGACTAAACGCGACGGCCGGCTGAGGTCAGACGAAATGCCAGCCAGGGTCGGCTGGTGGACCAGAATCAGACAGAGCCGGCCAAGCACTAGATGGGCCGACGCCAACAGACTGGAAACTACATACCTTGACAGCATAAGACCCGGCAGACTGTTCAAGCTTCAATCGGTTGTTGATGCGCTGAATGAAGAGTCGTTGACTGAGGTGCATCAAATCGGAAAGGCGTTAGGTTGGGGTTGACGCGACTCGTGAAATCCAGAAGGGGCCGGGGAATCCGAGTCATGCGCGTCTCCTTCCCGTCCTCCCGTCGTCGCGACTCTGGATTGCCAACACCTTGCATCACCATCGCAACCTTTGCACGACAAGAGCTGAGATGCATCATGGCACCGTCTGTGAACCGTTGGACAAAGCCACATCCTACCTTCTCTATCCGACCAAGCCACGCTGTTCAGACCTCGCTGCGATAGCCCCCATGTTTCTCCATGGCCAACTTGAGCTGGACTAGCTCCTCAATCCGTCGACGCATCTGCTTTTAGCTGCTTGAATGGGCACGAGTCACAAGCCACTGAAACATGGCGCTGTCAATGGATTGGCCAAATAGTCGTCTTTCAACCAAATTCCCACTGACGAGCCAGCTTGACAACGAGTCTAGTTCAGAAGCTTTTTCCCCCCGGTCTATCTTTGCAGCACCGTTGCTGTAGCACTGCAATTCTGACGCTGGCCGCCTGAATACTGCGGCAAGGACTGCTGAAAGACTCACACAACCGAGAAAAGGTCCCGCCGTTCGTCGACTGCAGTAGCCCCATTTTTTGACACTGAGGACTTTGACTCACGTCCGTCTGGTGTTGCATACTGAGACGGCGAGGACAGCCGCACAGAAAGAAAAATCATCTACACGGAAGCCACACGCAGGTCTCAGCGCTGGACCAGGAAAATCTCAAGTAGCACAGCAGACATCTCAAGTCGATCAATTCAGACTGAGCGACGAACGCTTCTCATTGGTTTGCACGTCTTCAATCGAAACCAAGAAGTTGTCGCCTGCGTGTGAGTTTACATTCAAGGGCTCCCAAGTGCTCTGGTCCAGATGATGTATCTCAAAAGGCGCCGAGAAGAAAAAAGCAAGCATCCAAGCCCGCAACGTCGCGCATCCCTCCTTACCGCTTTTCGCCTCGTCCGATGAACGCAACTTCATCATTGCGCTGGTCGCGCGATCAGTTATTTCCAAGGGCCGGACACGAATCTCGCAGGAGCCGATGCAAGGCTTTGACCTCCCTGCAGCCTGCATTAGCCACCGCCAGCTGCAACTTTTCCACCTGCATCGCTCTGCGGAAACACCGTTTGATGTCACAAGCTGCTAACGAGCCATTCAGCGACGGTCTCGTTCGCTTCCAACAACTCATGTGAAGCCGCGAAGCCAGGAGGTTGGCAGAGCCGCGCTCAGCCCTACTTCAGATGAAAAAGGCGAAGTTGTGCAGTGGTCAGCTGTCAGTACTTGACGTCGGGAGTGACAGCTATCTGCTGCACTCTTGAGTTGATGTTCTCGAAGAAATCCAGCTACAAACGCGCTGGCTGTCGAAGCGCCCAGCAGTTTCCCCAACAAACTCCGACGCGCAGCTATCCGTCTATCCGTTCCATCCAGGCTCTGTGGATTCCGAGCTCAAGCAGGTCTGGCTTCAAACTCGATGGCCGGAGCCACGGCGACCTGGCACCATGTGCGACGTGGGCCACTCTCCCCCAATCCGCTCTCTTTTGCATCCCTTGACATGCACCACACGGTACTTTTGTGCTCCTACACTTGTTCGCCTTACGCCTCTTCCGCCGTCCTCGCTTGAGACTCAGGTCCCCGGGCCGACGCCTGCTGCCGTCTCATCTCAAGCCAGCACATCCGGCCGGGGTGGCGCGCTGCGTGTCTCGCCCACAAAGTGCCAGGACAGACGTGCTGGTGATCCGTGTGCAAGATGAAGTCGTCCACTCCGTCGACGAGGGCGCAAATTCTGGGATCCGGGGTCGAGTGGCTGCTTGCTCGAATGATCCCGTTGTCCACTTGATGCAAGATCTTGCTGGCGAGGGCGGTGCTACCGCGCTGCTGGGACGCGTGTGGTTTTTCCCAGGAAATGGCCTGGCTGGAATGAGATATTAAATAGATGTCTCTCCTTCCCTCATGCTCGTGTTTTGGAGCAC